CTAGTTATAAAAAAATGACGTCGTTTTGGTTGACGATAGGAGAATCCGACACGTGGCAAAAAAAAACTTTATTATTTTTGGTGTTAAGAGCATGATGGAATGTGTTGAAGAAAATATACTGCTGTTATGTCTGAGAATGGCAAATAGAACTTTATTTTGCATTGTTCTTGGACAATCTTCGATCCTTTGTTTCATTGACTTAATTCTTCTCTCATTTCCTTTTAGGCCCTGTTTGATACACTAAAATTTTCCATGGAAAATGGAAAAGAAATTCCATCTTCCACTTTAGGCATGTTTGATACACTAAATTTTCTTGGCAATTCATTTTCTTGGTTTTGGCTCACATGGTTCCAATTCCTTTTTTTGATGAAAATCAATTCCCACCAATTTGGTGGGATTTGGTTTTCCATGTTTTCAGCTTTTACTTTTTTTTTTTGCAATGAAAACAAATTTTATCCCAAATTGTAATAAATTTTATCCGTTCAATGGACAATTTTCATGTAAAATAAAGCCAAACAAACAAAAAGATCCAAAATTTTAATATTTTCCACGTAGAAAATTATATTAATCAAATACAATTAATTGACAATTCCCAAGAAAACAATTCTAGGTAATTCAATTCTCTAGAATTCACTCAAATTCCACTTTTACAATCAAATGGACCCTTATTTCTTTCATTTGAAGAAGCTTTCAAATTCACTCTTTTAAAAGAGATATAGCCTAGATCTTTTATTGTAGTGGTGCCAAAATGGGTTAGATGGCATAGGTTCGAAAAGACTTGAGCTTCATCTTCATTAAAAGATTAGATTGAAATATGTCCGGCCTTCATAGGATTAGTCATTTATATTGAATGGCTGTTCTGTACTTCATTGTTAAGCTAGACGACCCCACGAGGATCGACTCGACAGACCTGGATTGCTTGGTTTTAGTGGTGGATTCAGGAATCTAGGTGAGTACGGACGGTTGCTAAATAATTGTTCGAGCAGCCGCCTAATATAAGAGGAAAGAAAATTTGGCGAAGTGAGCACTGGCAATCGCAAGGGCTTGTCGGGTGTTGGCTTATTGAAAAAATTTAAACATGAATCAAAATTAGAAAAAGTAGTTGTGACTATAAAAACAAGGAAATAAGTTGAAATTGCCGGTTGACCGACTATATTTACAAACGAGGATTTGATTGCTTTATCCCGTCAGAGACATAAGTTGGGTAGGAGCGCAGGGGTTGGAATGAATGGATCATGATCTAATTCTTCGCGTGTGGTTCCCGATGTCAGAGCGGATAGTACGTATGATATAATAGCTTGGACATAGAAGTTGAATCGTTACAAAAAAATGCGTTTTTTTTATAATGACCCGACTTTTGTACCCAAGGCTTTAACTTACGTACTGTCCGCTCTGGTAGAGTTTGAGCCCATCTTACCTCACACGCATTTCTATCGCGTACCTAGAGTAGACACTATGTAAGTTAACGGCTTGAGCACAAAAACCGAGTCGTTACAATCAGTGTTGTCAATTAATTTTGCAGTGATCGGTTGCTATGCAAACCTATGCTACTTTCAGCGAACACTTATCAGTTAAAAACCATCAAATCATGTGTGAACTCATGCTAGCTTAAATGAACACTTATAACGTAAAGCCTTGTACTCAACATCACATTAACAATGAGCAAAAGAAGCAAACAAATGCTAAACTACCAAGCGAGCAAATATACTCTTAAATAATTCCACCAGCTATTCCACATCAGTAAAAACAATTATTGAAACACACGTGAATGATAACGTAATACCTGCTAAAAATGATTTCACAACATATGGATGAGGGACATGCGTCATGGTGCCTAAAACATGAAAAGTAACATATTTAGTTAGAAGCTCACCAATCAATAACTGCCATGTGTCACTAAAGAAAATGAATTTTTTACCCTCTTAGTATCATCAGAAATTTGTAAATAGGCATAGTAGGGAACAAATAAAGATATGCAAATCTGAATACACTCCTTTCAAATAGCTATTTCTTTTCTTGTTCTTGTTTTAACCATAAATTCAGTGAGTTTAGGAAGGGAAAATCTTGGTTAAGTAAAAGGAATTTGTTAATCTCAATTTTAAGGTCAACAATCCTTGACTAACGTTGCTTTTTACGACTATGCTCTGTGCATGCTTGTGCTGTATACAAGCATTTCATGAGCCTTAGCATTCAAAATCTTTGTTCACATGTGAAATTTGTTATACATTATTTATTGTTTTAAACTGGAAGCTTGTCTCTCATATCCTTTTTGGAATCACTATACAGAAATTTCATGAACAGACATTTTATAATTTTAGTTTCTGGCGGAGATTTTTTTTTAAATCCTGAAAAAGCTTCTATTAAAATCGATGCCTCTCTACCAAATTTTCTTATTATGGTTTCCGCAAGCATCAGGAGGTTGGGATTCACTATTATCTCTAAGCTTGTTAAAAACATTTACTTGCACTTGAATGCAGAAATCTTATGTGTGATTCAATTTTGTCTCCTGTTTCTTTTCACAGTAACAACCTCCAATGAATAAGATAGACTATCCTTTCTGTTCTTTGTGGAGTGTATTCATATACTGTCCTCCAACAAATACTAATTCTGATGTTGCCTGCAGACCTTTTACAAAGTTGTTAGGAGCTGGGCCTCAAAAAAGTTCATGACTGGATGGTAAGTACAATTAGTTTTGTATTGAACTGCTGAATTATCTTTAGACTCCGAGTACGAATTGTTATTGTCAGCTATTAATTCATCCTGTTCATTAATTACATTTCTTAAATTGACTGTCCTCTATCCAAAACTTTTAGGTTGTAGGTTTAATATGACTGTAGTGGTACTACTTGGGCTATATTTATAGGGTACAAATGCATAAGAACTAGACTGGGGAATGCAAGAGTTTCTACACTCTGATCATACCATTATTTTTATTATGTTTTAATGGATCAAAGAGTGGCGAGGGTGGAGAGGATGGACTGGTGCAACATTCTTCCAGAAGGTTTGAAACATGTCATAGTTTCTGAAATTGGTAAACTTGATGAATGAAGCTTTAGCCTACCCTGTGCATACAGAATTAATGATCAAACCCCAATTGTCGATTCCGACAAGAACTTCCTGTAATATATCTGCTATACAGATCCAAGGATTAGTTTATATGATCTTTGGACATAGTAATCGTTGTCTAGTTGATGAGTAGCTGTTTGCTGGGTTCTTTTGTGGTAGA